CGGTTGTACGCCACCGTATAATTCGCTGTAGCGATACAGTAATGTCCATCGAGTTGCGACTCGGTATCTATGATCGTTGTACGTGTATTGGCTTCGCGCAAGGGCTCTCTACCGACGTTGAGGGTCTTCGTAGCTTGTAAACGATATTTACGATATTCGTCCGCCTTAACCCTTTCGCAGTTTAGTCCGTGCAACGTATACGGAAGGTGGAAAGGTACCGTTTAAGTTCGTTAGGGACACGAGCGAATCATTTGGTCGATTTGTTAACCTTCCGGTTGCCCTCGCACGTGTTTCTTCCGAGGAGTCTTCGAATTTATCGTTGGTCTCCTCTTTTCGTGGAGCAACGAAAGGGTTTTAACGCGGTTAGGTCTGAGCAACATAGTTTCATTTCACGGAACATCTCCCCCACGGACGAGGTAACACGCGTCTCGCACGCCGGAAGGTGTTTACAACCCTCCATGGTAAAATTAGAACGAACTCGATCTTTTACTTCCCGTTGAGCTATAAAACGATCTAACGAACGCTGCTCGGGGAGCGATACACTTCCGAAACCAGTTTTTTTCGCTACGGTTCCTTCGACTCGGTTTCAACTTCTCGGCTGTTAGCGAGTATCGCAATCGGTTCAGAATTATCCCGCTCCGCAGCGTGAACTATCCATCAACGATACACGCAATCGGATGGAGCGACCATGAGCCAGATGTCTGGTAAATCGTTACCGATCTCAGAATCGTCGTCAGACGGGAAAGAATAACGGTTACAAAAGTGGGAGATGTAAATTCGTCAAAAATATTTACACGAACGTGCTAAGGGGAGGACGGCCGCGTGTCGGTAAACTGTCAGCCAGCTGCCAAGCCAAACAAAACCGTCAAGCTGCTCGTAATCCGCAGCGAAGCGGATGGCATCGCCGCGCGACCGCTTTGCGACAAACGCGCGTGTACTTATACTGTTTCAGGGTTGATTTCTCGCGAGCAATGAAATATTACACTGTCGTCTCGTTTAGAACAGGTGAGAAACTCTTCGGAGACTTTTGAGCTGGTGATTAATTTTCCTTTTTTGTGGTCGATAATCATATTCACCCGTTTCACGTCACGATGTATCACGTTGAGAAAGAATGGATCACAGTCGTTTCGTGATCTCTGAATGCCGTGAGTCGTCTGCTTGCTTCGAACCTGGTGGATAAAAGCTGGAGGATAACCAGGAGGATAACCAGGAGGATAAACCAGGAAAAGTCTGACCATCGGATTTGGACGCTTCAGAATAATTATTGGTTGTATAGGCGGTGGAATAAAACGAGTTAGACTTTTATTTAAGTTGACTTTAAAAACTTTATTAGAAACACACGGAAGATCGCGTCTGTACGAAAGAAGCAGGTCGAATGAAAGTGAGGTCAGTAACGAAGAATTTCGTTACTGAATCATAGACCCTATCGGTCCCATAACGTCTAAACAAGTCAAGATGGGACATAGCTGCACCCTCTTGAATTGTGTCTAGGAAAGAAATCCAAACGCGCAGCGATGGTTTTCGCGAACGAAAACTTTCTCCTTTCGAAGAGAAAATCCAACAGTAATCGTCGTTTTAACATGTTCCGAGTGTATTTCATGTTCAGCTTTTGGACAAATATCTTCTTTTAAAAAGCGAACCGGAGACCTCGAAAAAATATTCAAGGTCCGCCTCCTTGTTGAATGTTTCGCCTCCACCCTGAGAAAGCTCTAACCAGCGCGGTTAGCCTTAAAAGGTTAAAAGACGTTGCCTTAGACGTCCAAGGCTGCGCGCATCGTCGAAAAAGTTCGTAACGCGTCAACGACGTCCGCGAAGGAACACGATCGCGTTCTGCCGTGCATTCTCCCGCCTAAAAATAAATGGTTGCGTAAAATTAAGGGCGTGCCTCGTACATCGTCGTGAAAATTACATCTCGTAGGTGCCAATTGTTCTTGGCTGGCTGCTCGAAATTTATCGGGGATATTTCTGCTCTGTAACGAGCTATTTAGTTCCTCGACGTTTGAATTTCCTTGTTCCCGCTGCCAGTCGGGGACGGGCGTAAACACTTCATTAGAATATAATAGACCAGCTGACTCTGTCCAATCGAAACTTACGCGTTCATTAGCTTCCTTGAATTACTAAGTTTCCTTTTCTAAGTTTATCTATGTTTCCATTTTATCCCTTGCTTTTAGCTAGATGTTTAGGGTTACGCCGTGGGGTAGCAATTTGCTGAACCTCGCCCTTTCGCTTCGCTTCCTCTGCTGCAGCTTTTCCAAACTGTTTTAGTCACGAAACAAACCTCGCTGTATACATGTTCAACGCTCGGATTCTTTTTCAAACTTTCTGTTACATCACCCACGTTATTAAACATAAACAAAAGGAAGAATTAATAAAAGAAGGTTCCTTGAACTTTTCGTGCAAGCGGTTACGTTAATCGTTTCAAAGGGGAAAGATAAACGGTATGTCGGACGATTCGTTTCAATGGATTACGCGTAATCTCTTCGCTGTCGAGGCGTCGTGCACGCCACTCGAAGAAATTCGTCCCGTTTTGGATGCAAACGGACGTCTCGATCGAACGTACGTGCCAAAAAGCAAGCACGAAAATATACAACGGCTACGAATGGTATCGTATCGTGTCTGTCGGTTCTATTCGCGTGCCCTGACCGACGGGAATGACTGTCGATCTCGTGTCTGGAGAATTTTTGCCAGATGCGAACGTGAACGAACTTAGTGTGGCGCGAACACGGACTGCGCAACGTCGTTGGAACGATGACACCGCGACAAGATCAAGAGGAGAGTGTGCTCTTCTTTTCGAAGAGCATACGGTCATGGCAGAGATGGGAAACCCTAGGTTTCCAATAAATTTGAAGTTTGCCAGTGTGTTTGTCTCGCTTCCTTCTTTGGAAAATGTTCAAAAGAAGAAACGAGACAAACACATCGGCAAACTTCAGATTTATTCGAAGCCTAGGGTTCTGCCCATCTCTGGGTCACGGGAAGCATTGACTGCAGATAAAAGAGTTCTGTCTTCTACGTATATGTATAATAAAGAATAGATAGGTGTATTAATATAGTATTGAATATAGTATTTTTTCCATTAAAATTAGAGGAAAAAGAAATCTCGTAAAGAGTTTGTTTAGAGGAAATATAATGAAATTTCTATGATATCCTCCAACTATACTTCTCCAACTCTATTCGTTTTTGAAAGTAAACCAGTCAACGCGCCCGCCACTATAGGCATGCGCCATCTAACATTCTCCTCGGGCGGCAAGATTTGACGGTCCTGCGTGTAGAATGCGTTCAGCGTGAAACACTCGCGATACAACGAGGTCGGTCGAACCGTATTTACGATTCACATTTAATCGGTTTGCAAGCTAGGCAGCACTCCCTCCTACCTATCTATAGAACGGTGTCACTATTAATACGGTCTCTATTATTAATAGAGCGCGACGTATGTTGGGACAGTTGTGATTCCCTTGATGTACGATTCGCGTCTTCTGTTTTCAACCGTGGAAGTCCCGTCCCTCGAGAGGCAAGACCGTGTCGTTGTTGTCGGATGGAGCTTGTCGTCGTCCGAGATGGACAACGTTTTATTTGCATGTTACACAACGAACGAAAATTGTACCGCAACGATTCGCTCGTGACATTTATCCAACTACTTCTATATACTGTAAACAAAAATTATAGTTGGTGATGTTTCGGTTGACGATGTCGAACCAATAATTCACGTTGCATTCGCTATTCGAAATGTTTACCTTTGCTCTTGGACATCGTAAACGCGCATACGTCTCCCGACATCGACAACCGTACCTTTTAACCCATCGTTTTCAGGGAATTGATGCGACGCTCGCGATTTATTGCCGACGTTTCAACGTTGAGTCCCTCGACGACGCAGAACGAGGGAAACATCGATTCACAACGTCGAGCGTATTAAGGTTACGAAGTCTATGTCGGCCAAAGGAAAACGATTAGCGGAAATCTACGGTAGTATCCGCTTTCCAGGCCGATTTTTTCACCCGGGTATAAAGCATGGACTTATCCTCGCTACTGTTTCTCTTCTTGAACGCGAGAGAGTCGTTGACTGAAGCCGATCTCGAATCGAAGCTGATCTTTGTGTCGAGCTGCAACGAATTTAATTCTATAAAAATCTAATGAAAATTGTACAGATCTTTACTTTATTAGCGCAGGTAATAGGAGACTCAGGTCGCTTTAACTCTGTCCTGCTCAGGTTTCGTGTATCTATTCTCTTTCCGCGTCCAACGGTTCACGCGTGGCTGAATCTCAGCTCGAAATAGAATTCGCTATCGACCCCGAATTTAAGGCAGTCTTCGGACCAGATTTCGCTTCCTTCACCGTTATTGGACACAACAAACGCGAAACATTATAATGTAGACAAAAAATTAACCCCCGTGATACGTGCAGTTCTCTACATTGGCCTCTATCTAGCTCTAGAGTTCAGTGAGTGGATTATCAGAAAATCATAAAATTGGAGTACCTACGTATAGGACTCGCAATAACAGAGTTTCCTTTTTTTTTTTTTTTTTTTTTTTTTAATTGGATGAAAATTGGAGAGATAGTAACACAAGGGTTGTAATACTGTTCCGATCAGAAGCTTTGCGTAAATTAATACAGAGGATGAATTCTGTAATTTTGTTCGGGAATGCCATCTTTGAAAGGGAACCTGACGATTTCTTAGTAATATTCCCATTGAAAATGGCACGACATAATGGCAATCGTCATTGGGACGCGGTAGTTTCCGCTTTGCGATTCCTTTGCACGCGCAAGGGACTACCAAGACGTTATCGATTCGTCTCCATCGAGAGGAAACGAACCTGTTGCTAAAAGCAACCGAGAATAATTCTGCTCGTTCCTCGTACACTCTCACGGTACGTTGCTTCGGACAGTTGATCTTTTCATCCTCCCCGATACCGTATTCCACTATCGCGACATTAATTTCGAAGATTGAGAAATAAAAGACGCATCTTGCACGGAAAAAGAAACATCCATTAGAGGTATTGGAAGGAGAACGGGGCACTATGGTTAAATACAATCCGACCGACGTTCTAATCGTTCGCAGTTTTTGCTATTTGTAAATTAGAATCCATTCTACTAATTAAAAGAACAATTATGCCCTCGTGTTAAGTATTATACGGTTTAATCAAGAAAAGTGCAGGTGAAGTCTTAACCTTTTGTGGGTATTTTCATAAGTTAATAAACCAGGCCACAAAGGCTTTAACTGAGTTTCGTTATTCTTTATTGTCGTCTTACCTTGGCCTGTAGAATCGCAACCTAAAAGGATCACCACCGGTGGACGAACAGCCTGTGTATTAGGGTGCTGGAGGGTTCATGGAACGAGATGCTTCATCGACGATCAGAATTTTCTTTGAAATTTTTTGGAAATTATTTCGTTTCGCGCAAAGAAACGATTAATAACATTACCGTGATAAAAACGCGTTTTATGGGCGTAAAGGAAGATTCCTCTCGCATCGTGAACATCACTCAGGGGCAATCTTTATAGCTCCCTGCAGTAGAGTGGCGCCGACGGAGGCACGGCTTCTTTCGAGGTCGAGTATTCCTCAAGGTTACTACGGTGTCGTCTAATTACCTGCTAATTTGCAACGGATATAAAAAAAATGTCTCCGTTTTTTTAGCCGCGGAAAATGAAGAACAAGATTATCACGGTACTCTCATTTTCAGATATTTACGACCTCCCGACTTATTTTAAACTCTGCCTTTATAATCTCGAGCTTCGAGAGGAGAACAGAGCGTCTCTTAGACAGGATTCGTCGTATTATACTAGCAACGAGTTGTAACAAAATGTATTACGATATAATCCAGTAACGAGTTATAAAAGCATGTTGCAGGAGGAGATTACAACAAAATTTATTACGTAAGAATGTTTTGTTATGTAGCGCCGACCCGGGTTTGCGCTTTGAATTTATGATCGCGTGACGATGCGAGATATAAAGCGCTGATCAAGCGATGACGTTTTTCAAATCGCTCAGCAATTTGCGTGAAAAAGGGAAATAGCAAAAAGCTACGACAGTATCGCCGCTTAACATCTACTCGTTAAAGGTCACGTCGTTCGTCGTCGATCATTGTTGGGACGCAATGTGATCTGATTAACGATTATGATTACTCTGTAATTAAACCGCTGATTAACGAGCGACCATCAATCGTGATTAATTAATGATAAAAGTAATTAAAACGGGCGTTAACGTCAACTTTCCCCTAAATTCCACCCCAGATCCGCGTTTTTCTGTTGGAAAACAGACTATCCTCGTTCGTTATTTCAGGGCGGACTATTGGAAATCCCAGGGTCGGAAATTCTGCGATTTCTGCAAGTGTTGGATCGCTGACAATAAACCCAGCATCGATTTCCACGAAGGTGGCAAGAAACACAAGGAAAATGTCAGCAAACGTCTTAAGGAGATACACAAGAATAGCACGAAGCAGGCGAAACAGAATAAAAAGATCGAGGAGGACATTAAAAAGATGGAAAGCGTGAGTTTCCTCGTCCTCTGTGACACGCAATTGAAATATTGATACGGTTGAGTAACCGAGGGAAATCCTCTTTTTAACTCACAGGCAGCCATGGCAGCTTACCTGAAAGACGTCGAAAACAACACCAGAGACATGACTGCTGACAGAATTATCGAGGAGAAGAAGAACAGGGTAGAGAAGAAAGAAGTGAGTGTTTAATATCCTCCGTTGCGGAATGATTGTATCGGTCAGAGAATTTTTCATGTCACTCTATACATACTTCCTCGATAATTGATCGTTTCAGACGCCAAACTACAATCGCATGCCTCCAGCCGCTCCAGAAACTAATCCTAGGTTCAAAGGTAGAAGTCAACAGGTGAGAGCTCACTCCTAGACCTAAATAATTTCAATAATTAATCAATGGTCCTAACGTAGAATTTTTCTAAATTTAATTCGGGTTATAGAAGATTAACTAATGTACACGGTGGTCTAAGGGTCGAAGGAGGTTGATGCTCCGTTAGCCACGAATGCGATAAACCTTCGAATACGCTCTGACATTGGAACCTTTTAGTTTTCTCAGGAGATCGATCCGTGCGATCCAACTTTATCGCGAAACACCGTGGAGCATCATCCGAGAACCCAACACAGGCCCGAGAACAAGGCTCCGGGAAAGAGCAAAACGAACAAAGGGAAGGGAAAGGGGAAGAAAGCTCACGAGGACGATCGTCCCGCGAAACCTGTGCAAAAACTTTGGTACGAGGCACGCAGTCCCGAAGGATACACTTACTATTGGCACATCGAAACCAACGGTGAGTCCACTCGCACACTTTGGTCCAAACAGCTGAGTAACTTTTTTATTAGATTTCGTTTAACGTGCTTCTTTCATAAGAGGTATAAATGAGACAAATATTCGACTGAAAATGAAAATAAAAACACTCACGGTTCTATCGCTTCAATTAAATAAATATATTGGACAGTTTTTTTTATTTACATATCAGTAGAACAATATCATAAAATTGGTGTATTAAATTATTTATGTACATGTAAAAGCCCCGTGGCCTTCTCGAGATATTCGCTATTTTTTTTTTTTGTATGTACAAGTATCTACGAACGGATAATACTAAATGTGATATTCAGTATTCAAGGGACTGCTGTCGACGAACTATTTTTTTTTTTTTTTTGTGAACGCCAGAGTCCGTTTGGGAGCCACCAACCGAGGGATACATGACGTTCGCGGAACAAGAAGAGGAAGCGAAGGAGCAGGCTCTTCAGGAGACGTTGCTCGAACAGCTCGAACAGGAAGAAGCTGTCGCGAAGGCAGAGATTCTCGAAGAGAAGCGAGCCAACGCTGAAAGGGAGCATTTGAAGCAACTGAGGAAGCTCAAAGACATCCAACGGGTCCAGAACGACAAAGCTGACGAGCAAGTGGAAACCACCGAAGAGGAAAGTCGACCATACAGAAGAGACTACAGTATCCCCGAGAAATCTCATCCCTATGGTCCTTGGCAGACTGTGCGAATCACGTAAGTATTCGAATCAAGACACGATGTACCGTCAATAACGCAACGTTCTCTGTTCCAGTGAAACGAAACCGGTGGACTTGCAGCTACCCCAACACAAGCAACCGCAACTTCCTGTATTCGGGAAAGCGGAGGCGCCTCCCGTGCAAAGAACGTTCAAAGAAAAAATACTGACTCAAGTAGACACAGGCGACAGCGACGAGGACAGTCGACCAACCACGTTCAAGAAACGAAAAATTGGCAACAAAAACGTACGGAAACGAATAAACGATGACTGATAGCCCAACGGACGCGACTCTTCGTCGCGATTATTCCAATCTATTCAGGAAATGATACGCACGAAACATTACGCTACGTCCATTTTATCAAACGACGTATCGTTCAATCGTTTCTGCCAGTTACATGGTCAATCGATCAGTATAAATGCCCCAAGGATCGTTGCGATCCCTTTTCAATGTAACTATAACGATGAACATACTGTACATCGCACTTAAAATGCGATCACGCATAAGTATGTGTGTACATACAAGGTATATAAAGCAACAACACGAATAGAATTTCTGCTCCATTTCAACTCCATTTCGAACGTCAAACCACCCGAGTGTTCACGAATCCACATCCATATTCCATTCAAGATTTTTATCCACTGTGTCAAACTTCTTCAGGTAAGGGCGCATTCTTCTGGATTATGTTACTAGACGTAGCGTATCGGGTCTTGTCGATGGAGCAAGGTAGCCCGTTCAGTCGGTCTAAGATTAACTGACGAGGTTGACCCTTCGTTTCCGGGATAAGCACGAAAACGAACGCGAAAATAGCCACACAGAGAGTACCCAACACAAAGAAGCAACCGTACATGCCTAGCACACTGGCGATGTTCGTGAAGAATTTAACGACGACGAACGCCGTTATCCAGAGAACGAACAAACCTAGCGTCATGCATAAACTCGCAACGTCTCGAGCGAGTACTTCCGAAGACACCACGTATGGACCCGGACCAACGCCTAGACTGTAGCAGATCATGTAGACGGACAACATCACCACTGGAATCCAATTCAGGGCACTGACATCGATTTCAAGCACCTGCAGGTAGCAGAAGATTCCGAGAGTGTAGTGACAGATACACATTCCCGAGGCAGACGTCAGAAGCAAAATTCTCCTGCCGAGTCGTTCCATCAATGAAGTGGACAAATACGAGCCAAACAGTTGTATGGCGCCTAAGATAATTGCAGAGGTGTTCGGCGATAACGAGCTTCCTGATATCTTGAATATCGTCTCTGCGTAGCTTATCTGTGGGGAAAAAAAGAGAGAGATCGAGATTAATTAATGATTTGCCTTGAAATGGTAACATCGATCAGTTTTATATCCGTAGCGGCATCTAACGTCCTTACACAGAAACTATTTCATAATGAACTTGGAAGTGCCGTCGAGGGCGCTGATTTGTTTCGTTAATTGATTTAAATTCGAATTCAGTCGTGATAATCTCCTACCATGGCGAATATTCCGCACAATTGTTGCGCAGCGAACAGACCCAACGTGATAACCAATCCCTTGATTGTTGCTTTGTCACGAAACAAGTTCGAAAATCCGACCGATTTTCCTGAAACGTACAACTCTTTGGCCTCCGCCTGCAGACGCGCCAATTCTCGCTGTACCGTTGGTTCGTGGCTGGCTTTCAACCACCTTAGAGATCTACGAAACACGAAATCGATGAAGTCGTAGCTGTCAACTGTAGCTACAGTTGCAAGTATTTTTCCAGAAACTGTCTCCTTACCTCGCTGCTTCGTAAAGCCGATTATGTTGCACAAGGTACACAGGAGATTCCGGCAGAAAGAATATGAACACGAAATACAACAGCGGTATCGTGAACGCGGTCACCGCGAAGATACGAAACTTGAGCAACGCCCCAAGGATGTATCCTACCATAATGCCACCGTTTAGGAGCAGGACCAACAGACTGCCCAACATGCCCCTTATTTCATCGCTGGAGATCTCTGACACGTAGCGTGGCACAATGTATAAACTAATGGCGCCACCAAAGCCAGCGAGGAAACGGGCGATGAACACGTGCGTGTGATTCGTCGCGAAAATGATCAACAGCCAGTTGATGGCAAAGGGCAGAGTCGCTAAACAACCGCTTAATTTGCGCCCGCATCTCTCTGCTATCGCAGCAACCACCAGGCTGACAAAAGCACCCGTCAGACACATAATCCCTGTCAGCCATGACACTTCTTCGTCGGTCATCGGCTCGCCAACCTCCGGGGAATCCTTGTCTTGCAGCAAGGGTACCGACGGAGATTGCCAGCCTATCGTTAGCCCGTACGTCAGACACGGAATGTTCACTGGAACACATTTGCGATGGTATTAGTCATGAGAATAATGTCTTCGAATTAGTTACTAGGTATCCTGACGCTCGAGACACTTACTAACAAGGCAGACGAAAAATTGTCGGTATTTTCCTGGCACACCATCCTTCTCCTCCGCCATGTTTTCTCTTCCTCTTTCAAGCACGTTTGAAATCACAAAACGGTGTTCGAAGTCAAAATGATACCGCGATTAATTTCTCCGCGAATAAATCTGTCGATAAGAAACGGACTATTTTCTTAAGTGTTTATCGTTAAAGCGCGATCGAGTGGGTCAAGAGTAACGGAGCCGTTTCGATCTCTTTGCAGTTAGGAGTTTACACCTGAGATACCGTTCTCGTGACCGATTTCCCCTCTACTGTCGAAGGTTCGACCCTTCGTGCAATTTATACCGATTGGAAAACACCTAGTTACCGAACTCGAACGAATCGAATCTGCAATTCTTATCTTGCAGCCGACTGTCGCAGAAATGCGACTTATGTCGTTCTTTGTATGTTCTCGGCAAACAGCATCGTCAACGCATGTGTTAGCTTTTCTCTGAAAATACAGTGCGTGTCATAAATATACCAACCCCCCAAACATTCGAAGCCTCCGAGCTTTTGAATAGCAAGTTATTTTACAGAGAGCTCCACTTGTTTTCCATAGATGTGGATAACGTTTCATGCGATGCGAATAATCATTACGTGAAAGGTTTCAATGAATGATTGAATCGAATAAAAGAAAACTTTATTGCACCTCGACGTTACAAAATTTACAAGAAAACAATTTACAACATTCACCCTTACAATTACATAAACGCATTTATACGTTATTAATAAGTCCACAATGATAAACTGATAGTCGCAAATAAGATCGTATCAATATAACATCTTGCATAGCTAAATGATTCCGCGAGATTTACTATCATTCTGTTTTACCGACTCCCGATAGTAGTGCTTAATTTACGACCCCGTAAGCGACAACTGCTTTTTTCTTACGAATTAATGCTTTCAGTTGATTTATATGCCCTCTACACACGTGTAATCATTTTTAGCATACGACAACACGTGCTTGTTTCTGCACACAAATTGCAACGTTATACCATAGTGGATATATACCAAAGAATTCCATCTAAATAGAACAAAATAAATAAAAAACATTTTAGGGGACTTCGGGAGGCTCTAATTAGGCCCAAGATGTAATAAACCCTCTAATAAACCCTGTGGTGCACAATTACTCACAGGAGGAAAGCACCAAAACCTAGTAGTTCCCAAATAATAGGTCAACATTCAGCAATTCGAACAATTGTTCGACATCTTATTGTTAAAATTATCCCGTGTTACGGTTGATTACACAGTTGACTTATGCATATCACATGATGTAAGTACCTATATCACACCAATCCAACTATAGGTGTATCCACTATCCATGCATTGTCAGAAGTGCAGCGCTACTTGTCAGAACGTATCTCCCACAGCCAGATAACAGCTAAACAGGTATTTAACCTCATAAAAACGTCCTTCAAATTCGATACACATCGTTTAATATAAGACAATAGCATGATTTCTTGATAACTGTTATCAATCTGATGAAACAGATCGACGACGAAACTTTCCTTTTTCTATTCTCGCCAAAAAGTTTTGCAAAATCCTGGTGCATCCTTTGTCAGCTACTGCCATATTAGGCGTACAGAGTACAGACAAAGACAACGTTAATTTCCCTTCGAATAGGAAGCTTTCCTGAATAATCCTGCAATTTCTTTGTTTCATTTGAAATGTTACGCAAACGAATATCAATAAACGACATCGTGCAATGATAGAAATCATATTTGCGAGCCTCTGTTTGTTTTTACCTAGATTTCAACCACACCTTCAACGAATCCTTGCAAATATTTATCCTTTTTCCCAAATACTACGACTTTAAGATATGATTCCAACAGGTTATGTCACTTTATGAATGTGGAAAATTATATGATATATATCTATTTTAGAAGAATTATCTTATCTGTGATATAGATACAAATTCAAACAATTCATTCAAGTTCCCTTTACTATGTTATGTAAGTGTCCCCTTTTTTATATGTTTCCTTTTGTTATGTACAAACAGATACATCTTCCCATTGTATTTTGCATTGGATTCGCTAAGTAACATGGCATGGCATTGCAGTGGAACTACGAATCAGGAAATGGTAGCCAAATTAAAAGGCAAGATTTAAGAAAAATATTAATCTAAATCAATAATTTTAAAGCATGGTTGAAAGCATATCTCTAGGATAGAATTTAATTACTGAACTATATTACAGAAGCTGGTCTAATAGCAACAGACACAGCAGAAGCAGCTATGATCGCAGTGGATAGAGCAAGGTATTGCCACGAAGCAAATCCATACCTTGATCAGCCAAGGAGAATTGGATATAACGTGACAATTAGTGCTCCCCATATGGTAAGTCAACAAGAACAATATATTGAAGATGTAAGAATGTAAAGAGTACTATGTTTTTTACAGCATGCATATGCATTGTCCATTCTATCTGATCAGCTATTCGATGGAGCAAAAGCACTGGATGTGGGCTCTGGGTCTGGGTACCTGTCTGCTTGCATGGCGTTTATGGTAGGCCCGCGTGGTCGTGTGATCGGTATCGATCACATTCCTGAACTCATAGAAATGTCCACAAAAAATGTTAGCGAGGACTGTCCCCACTTCATCAAGGAAGGCCGCGTAAAATTTATCGGTAAGAAATATAAAATTCTAGATGCGTTACGATCTTTATTCACGGATGGTTGGTGTTAGGTAGAAGAAAGAAACATTACTCGAAAATGTGATTTTTTCATGTAATGTTAACAAATTTCACGTATTGGAGAGTTTGAGAACGATAAATGTGCTCAAATAAAAAATACTCGTGATCCACCCTCGTGGAGTAGGTTGTGTACCTTGTCACGAAGAGTCAAACGGGACTGTGTCTACCAATTGCGTGACTTTGCTGTGCGTTAAAAGATAGACCGAAGTCTAACTACAGGTCATTGTAAATGCGCCTAGTGGGAGACGGCAGGTTGGGACACGGTGCTGAAGGGCCCTACAACGCGATTCACGTTGGAGCTGCTGCGGAAACTTTACCACAGCAGGTAGAGAAGATGACAAACAAAAATAAAGTTACTGTAAACACTGATTAATCAGATTAAAACATGTATCGTACATTGCAGTTGATAGACCAACTGGCTCCTGGGGGACGACTAGTTTGTCCGGTTGTTAGCATAGAAGGTTTCCAAAGGTTTCAAGATCTGGTTCAGGTGGATAAAGATGCCGACGGCACGGTCACGAAGAAAAAACTGATGCACGTTTCCTATGTTCCTCTAACCGATCCCGCTACTCAATTACGTAACGATTATTAGTTTACAATTGTACAGATTTAGGTATTGTCTAGTTAGTTCTCTACGCTGTAAGATAATCGTCGATGCTAACGATAATGAAAGATAACGTTGAAATCAATCGGAAATTTTCCTTCCTCACATAAAACATGATGTTATCGAGATAACAGTTTTCTATTCAAACGTGTATCAATAAAATATATTTTCTTTATGTGGTATAATTTATTTAATTTATTTTTTATACGTTATTTGTGGTATTATATTTTCCAGTTGCTATATTTAATTATGCAGTAGGAATCTACATTTGTTAGATTACTATCCATCTAGTGGCTCGACGTACGAACTAGAACCGCTCCTGTAGGTATGCAGTTACTCATTTTTTATTTCAATTACTCTACAGGTTGCATACCTTCAGGGGCCATCTTCAGGGTTATATGCATGCATATGCACCTGCATCACACGTGTAACGTTTATATTATCAACTATAGCGATGCTTCCTAGAAAATGGCGCAAAGATCGAAGAAAAATGGTGTCTGTAATTCACACTTTCATTAACGCATATTAAACAGAAATCTGCCTTATGTTCAAACGTTTCAATTTATCTATGTACAAAAATTGGACCTTTACCGATTGTTATTCGCAATTTTTTGATATTGCAATAATCACGAAGGTGTCGCCACGTCCGTGAACGTATACCAAGGACGTTATATGCATTGAAGGAAACCTAACCTCGTGTAAAACAAAATCAATGCACTACGAGGTGTGTCGATGCAGTCTGAACATTTACTTATAAAATAAATCGACGGACGATTTTGTTTAAAAGAACATTGATCGGTTCATAGTGATTTTCGTAAATTGCCTGAAGGTACCCGTTAAGGTGAAAAACAACGTTTGGTTGTAAAAACTGAACAATTTTAAAAGAGAAATTTTCGGTGTCGACTAAATGGAAACAATCCAAAGATGATTCTCGAAAGTGTTACCAATCAACAGAAAATAGCTGATGATTGTGAATGTGCGCGAAACGTCGTGCAACAAAATTTCTACATAAAGCATCGGATTAAAGTTTGCAATCCGGATTAGACGGGATGCCGTGATCGCATAAGGTGGTTAAGGTAATCAAATCTGTCTCATTTCAATCATTTTCTCTTCGTTATCGTAGTATCCTTTCTTGAATATTTGTCCTTGTGCAACTGACGTCGTCCTGACGACGCTTAGCACGTTTACATTGCGTCCTTCATTTTTCTATCTAAAGTTACCGATGATATGTACTATTATTACTATCGAGAATAACGATAACGTTAATTTATCTTATGTAAAAGCGATTTGGTTCGATAGACGTGTAGTATACTACTCGCCACACACGACGTATCCTATTTTTAGCGTACACCATGGCGTTTCCAAAACGACGTTTGACCCGAATTACGTAATTCTTATCGAGCCGACAAGATTTATCCAGTCATAACAATCTTGGAAGCATCGTGCTCTATTATTGCGCATCTAAAGTATCCTATGAAACCTAACAATTATCGACATTAACTATGCGTCTAAACACGGTAAACCACATTTCCTGCGAAATATTATTTCAAAGTATTCCACGTATTTAAACTTTCGTATTGTCTTATCGTTGGATAACCAAGTTCGATAATAGTAGACGACGATCGTGTGGGTTACGCGATAATTATCGTTGCGTCACGGTTTCCTTTATTTTGTAATGGATTTTATTTCCTTAACTGGACACGGAATTAAAAATGCCAAAGGTTTTCATTCAATTCGAGATAGGTCTGTCTTATGCGAGTATTATCGAGGACAGCTGCTCGTTTCGCGCGCGCGTGTACCAAGACTCGCCATTTTATCGACAAGGACTGAGCGACGATCGGTCAATGGAAAATTACTCTGTAAAACGGACATAAAATATAAATATTTATTAATCTCGTTTATCAAATTCCGCGAATTTTGGTTAGTAATAATCGAACGGATGTATTTTAAATCGGCGTTTATTATTTGCTTTCTTTCTACTTTTATTATTCCAAGAATAATACCAGTCCTTTCGATACCCTCGATATTCGTCGGTCTATAGGTTGACCTTTGAGGTGAATACAAAAAAGAAAAATACCATGAATTTTGAATGACAGTATATGGCCGAACGTTTGCAGCAACCGTGTCCAGGAAAATCGACATAAGTTATGCCAACTCGTGAAAAGGTATAGAACAGAAAATCGTTGTTATTGCGCAACAGGAAAGTAGATAAGAGACCCGATTACGGAAGGAAAATGAAGAAGACAATATGCAGGATGAACGGGATCCTTACATCGTGGAAGTCGTGCGTTGTTTTTTTTTTTTTTTTTTTTTTAACTATCCTGGTTAAGATCGGTAGATTGAATTCAAAAGAATTATTTTCTTTTCTAGTGGCGTTGTTACTGCAATTATTCTATCCAACCCAAAGTGCAATGAAGCTGGAATGATAATAAAAACAGGCGATAGAAATTTCGGTCGTGTGTGTCGAGGTGTTCAATGGTGAAAGGCATAACCGGTTTTTTTGCGTGTAGCGGATTACATAAAAAGAATAAAAAGCACGGCGATTTGACGCCACGACCTTCGACCGGTTTCGTTTCGACTCGGAATCGTAAAAGTTGCTCTCATTAATGTTGCACACAATCGATCTCAACGCGAATAAGCACGTACATGGATAGGGGTGCGGAATACTAATACGGGGAATCCCGTACGAGGTAAACGAAACGATATCGCACGTGCGTCCGTGGCTAGGTCACGCACACCTGTTAACCTTTAATGGTCCACGTACTCTCCTCAGACACATGGAACAATAACTGTAACAAGGAATGAAGAAGATATGCATATTTTTATTTTACTCGAAAGCTTCTTAACTAAATTTCATATAGGGTAATTTATGTATATTAAACTATATACTTTTTCGAATTTTGTACTTTTTAGTATAGTATCGAATAAAAACGGTAGAAAACAGATGCGATGTTGCTGCATCAATTGTTTTATTTTATTCATATGTGAAATACGGAGGCTCGTGCGAATGGAAGAGAGTAGTATAGATGATTTTTAATGCGAGCGAATGTGTGTATGTGTGTGCCACCACGTTTTATCGCGACCTTCCCGCTCGGAATATTTTCGCGGAAAAGGGAAGCACGCGTTCGGCCGTTCGCTCGAGCTTCAGTACGGCGTCGACCGCTATCGTGCGAGGAGTTGTTGTTCGTGGGCTCTGTTCGACTCTGATTTCGGTTGCAATGTAACGTTTTTCTCGATAAGTGTGAGTAATAACGGATCCAGTGCTCGCGACTTGCCTTCCAAAACGACCGACTATCACGTAACAAATATCCAACAGGTAAAACAGATCACGTTCTGAAAATTGCACAGGAATGTTTACGAATTGCTCTCGCTCGCGTGCACTTATATTACACCTCAGCCCCGACGTAAACGCAGAAATTCGCCGAATTTCTAATTCGCCGAATTTCTAATTCACCGAATTTCTAATTCACCGTTAGACTTCGATGTTCGAGTATCTCATGAATACTAAAATGCTGGGAAATATTCGTTCGAATATTTAACTATTCTAGCGACCGAATTAAAGCGGGAGAAATTATATGTCGATGGAACCTAGAATTTTATTTATAATCCGTATTAAAGTGTGCTACGCAGATCCAGATTCTCGAATGGTCGAGTATATCGCAATAGTATTTAAATTATGTTCGTCGAATATTCGAATCGCTAAAGTGTTTGAATAATTCGGCAAGTTCCCGAGGAAAGCACCGAGTCGCCATGGATATAGGCGGTGACGTCGCATCTCCATGGGGGCCAAGACAGAATGAAATTCTATCATCCCCCGTAATTTTCATATTTTTACTGTATTTTTATTCGACTGTTCCCCGCACTTCTTCGGGATAATTATATTGTACGACATATTGCGCAATAATCTCACACATTACAATTATCTTTCACGCAGTCGTATCATCGATAACTCTACAAAGGATTCATTGTGCAAAAGTATTGCATACACGACCCGCGTTACAATTATCTCCCGTATAATCGCGATAATAGTTGCACCACGAAGTCTCCTGGGCGCGGTGTCATATCGAGTCGGTTTACAGTCCGAGATGATACTCTTGGAAATTAGACTTCACGGTGGGCATTTGTTATCGTAGTATAATCGCGAAGGGGATGATCGTGCAAAAAATGAATAAAAAATGTAGACGATGAGGCAGTCGGCAGAAGCAGTTTGGACCTGCATCCATTTTCTTGGAATTGATTCCCAAAGAACTTTTGAAGGAAGATTACAAGGGATGATAGATGAACGTAATGATTACACTGCGGATCTTTATGCAAAATAAAATCTTCGCTAACGTGCCTACAAATATTGAACTTAAATAGGAATTTATTTTATTCTGCAATTATTATAGTACGAACTTTACTTTCAATCTTTTTTTATATTCTTGCATATTGTTTGCATTTTGTACGTTCTTACGCGTTCAAATTTCCTATAAATGCATAAAAATCCGCAGTCTAGTTAATTATTAAACGACCACGTGGTGTCTACCAGAACCTCCTGATAAGGGTTCCTGAGAGAGGTTCTTGATAAATATTCCTGATGGACAGCGTTAGTGTCTTTACAGAAAAGTGGCTGATCAGAACGAGGTTATCGGGTCCTAAACGGTACGCAAGATCAAAAGTAGTATATATTCTTGTTCTATACTCCGATATCGATTGCGACTCTTTACGTTCCTCGGAATCGACCTTTCCGTGTCGCTCGGTATTTACGTCTAACCTGTTAACCGCGAAAGACGATCTAACTCGTCGTTTGTACTCGTTTAACGTCTTTATATACGTTTATTCAAATTTTTACTTATTCAACCGAAGATCCCTCATCTCGCTAACGTGTCACTTGCATCTTTAATTACATTTGTTATTGAGCAAGACGCATTCGCGAGACATTAGCCCTGTATACATAGGGGTTAATTACTACACAGAGGTTAATTTGTCGTTCCAACAAGACGCGTTGAAAACGAACTCGTGTCATATTAATTTATCCACAGGACAGGCAGGCCTCTGAATGGCAAACTACGCATAGAAAAAGTCGACTCGTTTATTTATGCACTGCAATGACCATCCGGTTGAGACTTAGAAGGTTCCTACTTTAATGTACCAAAATGACACGTAAATGTATCTGGTTAATCTGTACTTGTAGTT